CGTGTCTCTCAGTGTCTTCTTCAGTGTCACACAGAGAGCTCTGCATGCTCCACATCTCGGAGAGTCCCTTGTGAAAACAAGCCAGATACAGGCCCAGGGGCTTAGCAATGAGCTCCAGCAATGAGCTTCAGGCTAGGAAGTGGACCTCTGAAGCGGATGCCCGCAGTCCTCTCCATCCCTGTCCCCTGGAGATGCACACAAAACTCTGCCTGTTTCTCCTAAAGCCCGCAAAGAAACCCTCACAAACTCACCAACTCCTGGGAGCCATGGCCTGTGTAATCCCACATGTAGCTCAAGCATCTCCCTTGCTTAAGAAAGGATCTCCCTACGTTAATACCTTTTTTGATTACAAATGAGTATGTGTTGTGGCAGAAATTTAGAAACTAGAAAATACGAAGAAAATTTAAGTTGTCCGCAGATCCACACCTAGCGATCACTGCTGTTGATGGGGAGATATACGTATATGTATCTCCTTCCCTAGTCTATGCTGTTGGGGAAGATCACGAGCTGGACACTGTCACTTGGAGGCTCAACAGCCTCCCCCCGTCCTTGGAATGTGGGCTTCGCTTGCCTTTGCCACTCCCAGAGGCCACTCCAAGGACATAGTCTTGAGATGCTGACGTGGTGTGGAAAACACCTGCGTGGTATATGTGACTGAGCCCAGTTAAGGCCTCTTTGTAAACTTTTGAAGATCTGGTGGGTGGCTGTGGGGATCCATTCATCTTGCTGCCGCCCAAGACAAGCCTTGTATGTAAGTTCCCTTTGCTTAATAAAACTGCCACCTACCAAGCTAGGGTGGCCTGCCTCTTTCTTCAGTCTCTCCCCAATCTCTGAGCATGAAGCTGGTTTCAGATCATACCAGGGAAGCTCCCAGGGGGGTTTCGAACCAACATCTATATGCAAATATAAACCTACAATCATCTGTTCCCACAAGTTAGTCATAGACTTTCGTAGCCCCTCCTTACTATAAACCCTCTTCTAGGTGATTACCTTTCCACATAGTCAGTGTTGATATGCATACAATTCCATTGTGGGATTGTCCATATTTCTTGTGATCTGTTTACTCATAGACAATTTGGGTAATTAAAATTATTTATATTATATACTGCATTGTTATGAATATCCTAATTATTTGCTCACATCCTTAATATTCTAAAGGAAATCTTCCTAAAAATAGTACTGTTGAGACAAAAGTTGGGCACTTTTTGAGGCTTCTTCCAAACTGGTCTCCAAAAAGTACTGATTTACACTTCTGCTCACGGTACCACTGACTTATTCTTTGACTTGGACTGAAGCATGGTTGCTCCTGGTTCAAATTTGGATTCACAGTTCATCAGCCTCTTACCTGAGCCACTTATCGTTTATATTGCAGCTCTTATTAAAATATACCAAGATAGACTATGTTCCCTGTTAGACCACATCCATTTCAGGGGCTCTGCTTTCTAAAATGGATTTGGAAAAAAAAATTTAACCCACAGGACTGGAAAGACATTTGTTTATTGCATTTTGAGAGTTCTTATAGATACCAAGTCCTTAATCAGATATATGATTTGCAAATATTTTCATCCAGCTTGTGGCTTGAGTTTTCATTTTGATAACAGTGCCTTTCAAAGAGGAGTTCTTAAGTTTAATGAAGTCCAGTTTATTCAACTTTTTTTTTGTTTATGTATTGTGCTTTTTATCTAATAACTCTTTGTTGAAGCTAAGGTCACAGGGATTATCTCTTAAGTTTCTTCAAGAAATGTTATACCCTAATATTTTACATTTTGGCCTATGATCCATTTTGAGCTCATTTTGCATCTGTTGCAAAACCATCCTTTCTCCACTGATCTGTATTTGCACCTCTTTCAAAAATCAATTGATCATATACATATGGCTCTATTTTTGGACTATATTTGATTCCACTGATCTAATGTCTTTCTTGATGTCAATACTACAACATCTTCATTATTGTAGCTTAATAATAAGTTTTGAGGTAATGTTAGTCCTCCAGTTTTATTCTTATTTTTCAGAATTGTTTTGGCTCCCCCCCTGGGAGCTTCCCTGGTATGATCTGAAACCAGCCAGAATTGTTTGGCTACATTGTTTTGGGGTACTTTGCATTTCCCCATAACTTTTAGAATTGGACTCTGCTGTCTTTTGTGCTGTTGTTTTCCTATGTGCTATGAACCCCATGATACATTATTACTATTTTTATTAAAGCAGTTATCCTTTAAAGACATTTAAGAAATAAGAAAAAGAGTCTTATATATATTTACCCGATATTCTCATTTCCAGTGCTCTTCTTCCTTTGGGCAGATCCTTATTTCTTTGTCATCTTTAGTCTGCCTACCTGAAGGAATTACTTCAACACTTCTTGAAGTGCAAGGTTGGTGGGTGATGAAAACATTTGGGTTTTGTCAGTCTGAAAAAGCCTTTATTTCACCTTCATTTTTGAAAAATATTTTTGAAAGGTCAGAGTTCTCGGTTGATGGTTTCTCTTTTTTCTTGCAGTATTTGAAAAATGTTTCTCCACTGTATTCTTGCTTGCATTGTTGCTAAAGAAAAATCTGATATCCTCTTTATCTCTGCTTTTCTGTACCTCTTTTCTTTGATCACTTTTAAGATTTTCTTTTTATCACTGGTTTTGAGCAGTTTGATTATGCAGTATGATAATGAAGTGAATAAAAACTTACAATGTTGGGCGCCTGGGTGGCTCAGTTGGTTAAGCGACTGCCTTCGGCTCAGGTCATGATCCTGGAGTCCCTGGATCGAGTCCCGCATCGGGCTCC